CCTCGCCGTCGAAGTGGAGCTCGGCCTGCTGCCAATAAGCTGACATAGCTGCAATCTTCACATCTTCCAGAAAGTCGTAAAAGGTAGCTACGTCGATCGACTCGACCCCCGAGAAATTGGCGTCGGGGAGCTCCCAGCACGTGTCCCCAGGGGGGTCCCAGGCTGTCGGAGACCTCGGTACCCAGTGAAAGTCCAGCAAGTGTGTAATGACGGCACCCATTGGACCACGGACATGCCTGGAGCGGTGACTGGGAGGAAGGGCCTCCAGCTTGGCCCGCAACTTGGGCCACGCCTGCTGAATGCTCGCACGAACCTCAGGATGAGCACGCCATTGGTAAAGCCACATAGAGAAGGTGAGATATGTGAACCTAGCAGCGGGGTCCTGGCCATGGGCTTCCAGCTCCAGCAGGGTCGTGAGGCAGCGGCCCTTGGTCTTAGGGTGGCACGCAGCCCCAAGACGGCGTCTATAATTGACCAACTCCTGCCCCATGACTCCGAAGGCTTGGAACCCGTAGCTCCCTGCTGCCTGTGCGCCTTGCCGCTCCAGTCGTGACGTAAGTTGTGACCTGCGCAGCGTCCGTACGTACTTGACTACCTTTCTGCGCCGTGCCAAGTGCTTCTGCTTCCGCTTGCTACGCTCAGCGCGGACGTGCCGACGTCCTCCGCCCAGGTCGACGCCCAGGTATGAGGTAGAACGAGCAGCAGTGACAAAAACACCCCGAAGGCGAAGGGCTCGAACAATATCCTTAGCCGCCGACAGCTTAGAACAAACGATAACCGATTTCCCAGCCAGTCTGAGGCCTTGCTGCTTCAAGCCCTTGGCCGTGTCCACGACGCACTTGACAAGGTCCCTCTTGACTTGCTGCAGAGAACCCCGCGTAGCTTGAGAGATGTCGTCTATCCAAAGACGATGGGAACATCGAACATTCGCTGTACAAATCTTGTCCATGATGAAGTAGGTCATCGCGCGGGCGAAGCGGGTGCCCGAACGAAGCCCCTGCACAATACTGCATGTCGGCTCGAAGGCCAGTGAATATGAATCAATCTGATGGAGTGTGCGGGGGTGAGCACATTGCGATATCTCAAGATAGAGCACCGTGGCAGGAAACTCTAGACGAAGGGCTGCATTGGCGAGTTTGAGCCACAACATATTGTCGTAGTACCCGTCAATGTCCACCAAGGAATGCCCGTAAGAGATATCCAACACCCCCGCAATCTCTTCGTCGAGCACTCGTCTGAACGCCTCGGCCAACGCCGAGTTCCCCTGGACTGCGGCATCCCAGTGGGGCTCGGAACGCGACGACCACGACCTGACCCAGGGCTCGCGACTCACACTCCAGACCCGCCCCACCATCGAGATGAGGCCGATCACCCGATCACCCGAGACTTTCTTTGGAAGAAGACGGCCAATGATGAGCATGGTCTGGGCTGGCCACGCCAGCAAATATTCGACAGAGTTCAACAAGGCGGCAAGCTCTGCCAAACCCTCGTCTGGCAACCTTTCCATATCACAAGGTGTGAGGCGGTCAACCCCCATGCCAGCTCTGGATTTCATGGCTCGCAGCGCACGCCTCAAGTCTCCAACGGTGAGCTCGGGAAGCGGATCAGGGTCCCTCCGAACGGCCTCCCGAATGACTTGCAGGACATGCCCGAGAGCCTCACGGGGGTCAGGAATAGACGGAGCCCACTTCTTATGCCACCGCTGAGCTTTGCAGTCGACAATATCTTTCGGGTGATACAACGCTTCCGAGCCCTCGAAGATCTCCAGAGCGGGGACAGGATCTTGACGCATGGTCCGATGAAGAGCTCCAAGAGAAGATCCCTCCAAAGCCCAGTCCCTGAACTCCCGAATAGATTCAGCAAGGGCGCGACGTTGGGCTCGCTTCATGACCTTATCCGAAAACATAGCAAAATCTGACAACGTCTGGATCGAGCAACCCTGGATATCTGACAGCAAGCGAATCCATTCAGACCACGGCGGCTCCAAGCCTTCCCGCAAAGCGGTGTGAACTTGGTCGGGGCGATCTTCAAACAAACGCAAGCCAGCCTGCTCCAGACGACGCTGTTGATCCTGGCCGTTGTTCCTGGATCTATGTCGGGCGAGAGAGCTAAGGACAGTAAGCCTAGTCCACCACCCAGCTAGAACATCCCGTAGAGGAGTGACACGAGCTTTCTCCTGAGCTTTGACCTCCTGGACCTGGAAGGTGGGGACGACAGCACGACCAGGCCCTCGTGGGCCATCAGACCCATGATGGACGCTCACCGTCTTCTCAACCGCCGAAACCCACGACGCGTACATGCCCGAGACCGTGACGATACCCTGCTGGTTCGACTGGTACACGGCAGAGTCCAAGATGAAGGGAGGGAGGGTAGAAGGAGAGAAACAACAAAAGCCTACGGAGGCACGCTGGGCCTCCCAGACCGACAAGGGTATACTATAAGACGGGCCGACCTTGGTGTCGGCTTTGGGGGGCTGGGTCAACCTCGAATTACCTCCTAAGCTAGCTGGCCCACTCGTTGGCCCCCCCCAAGGCGGCGGAGGCACCCGACGAGACAGCAACCCCGCACGGCTTCCGCACAGAGCCAGCCGCCCCAGCACCACCACCAGCATCCGCCTGAGAGTGGGAGCTAACTTCAGAGGGCGACCCTACGCTGGACGAACTGCCCTCGGTACCACAAACCTGCCCTGGCACCCGAAGACTGTCGTCGCGACAAAAGTTTAATTCGTCGGCCCAAGGGTCCTCTTCGGAACAAATGGAGGCCTCGTCGAGATCTAAAGTGGTACCTACCGAGACCGCCTGCCTACTCAGAGGATCTCCTGAACCAGAGGGGCGTGTCGTTTTCTCATCGAGTGCTTGCAAAACATCGCCAAACATGTCGCCGTACCGCTCCTCACGCTTCTGAGCGGCAACTAAGCCAGTGAGCACGCGTTCCTGTCTCGATCGACTCGACTTGGATTGCGGATCGGGTTCCTGACCTGGGCGAGGTACCTGCGGCAACTTGACAGCTGTCGACAACACTCGTGTTAAAAGCTGTGCTCCCGATTGCCGAAACTGCACCTTCAGGCCCGCGTGAGTCTGCCACGGAACTGCAACCAACGGCTCGACTGACTTGACAAAACTGAGCGCTGATGTAGAACAGACCACATAGTCGATATGTGAACCTTGAGCACCTGAGTTGCACGTGTACTGCACATTGGCGGTGAGGATGTGGCCCCCGACTCTGCTCACAAACTCTGCTTTGGACAAGGCAGCGGCGCTCACGTTGAAGTCCGCAACCGCAACCCATGGAATCTGCAAGGATAACAGGAGGCCACCGAGCTTCCGATAGCGAGCGATGTTGGCGCCGCGGAAGCCGATGCCGCAGTACCCGTAGAAAGCGACCAAGGCAAAAACGTAACCTTTCATGTGAACTATGGTGACTCGGAAGCCGTCAGGCTGCGCAGCACGATCATGTTGTAGTGCTGCTGTATCGGCTAACGTCAGGGAATGCGCTTGAAGGTGCCCGCGAGTAAGAATCCACTCCCCGCCTTCATTGGCATGCCCATTCGTGGTTGCCGCTGGTGAGGAAGCTGAGGGCCTTGCTCCTGTAGCAAAGAGGCGAAGGCCGAGCTTCCTGGCTGCCAAGTCGTGCTTCCGAAGACCCTGCTTACAAACATGGGTCTCGACGAAGGCGAAAAACTGAACAGCCGCACACTGATCACGAACATAGGTCCAAATGCGATCGCCCATGCACGTGATGTTACCGAACACAAGCGTAGATGTCCCCTCTGCGCCTGAAACAACTGCCTCATTCGCCTCGCGAGTCAAAATGGGGGCCGGCTGCGGGGATGGTGATCCCGAGGCTGCCGACGCCGAAGAAGAGGAAGGAGGAGGTGCCGACCTGCCGCTTGAGCTCGCCCGTGAGCTGCACGACCTGGCCGATCCCCCCGACGAAGCCCTCGATGGAGCTCTCGTACTGGACGATGTCGACCCAGTACCTGGAAACCGCCACACCTTCGATGGACTCGGGAAAGTGGCCGCCGACGAATAATCTGGTAAGCTTCCACAGGCCGTCGATGACGAAGACAACTCACCACTATCTTCGTGCATCTCGGCCTGACCTCACTGGCTGTCAGTGCCAGCATTGGTGGCCGCCGCAGCGTCAACGCCCTTGCCGTTGCTCTTGCCCTTGCGCTTGGCGGTCTCGGCCGCCAGCTTCGCCTGGGAGATCTTCGCGGCCTCCTCCTTAACGGCTGCCTCGCGCGCCTCGCGCGCCCGAGCTTCCTCAGGGGTCTCGGGCGGCGGTGGCGCGGCCTCGGCTGACGGAGCCTCGGCCGCCTCATCAATGTTGCCGCCGCCCCCGCCAGTGCCCTCGCCCTCAGGCGCAGCACGCCTCTTCTTCTTGAGCCGCTCCTGGACTGCAGACTTGACCTCGTTGGCCTTCTGCAGCCACTCCTTGATCTGCTCCTCGCGGGTGCCCAGCAGCTCGCGGGCCCCCTCCAGCTCCTTCTTGAGCTTCAGCATGGCCTGCCTCTCCTGCTCCTCGAAGCCGTCCAGGTCCTCGAAGAGCGACGCGTCCCAGGACAGGTTCAGCTTGGGCCCCGCGTGCGATGCCTCGGTCTGGGGGGTGGGACTGACGCCCTCAGCTGCGGCCAGCACACGAACAGCATCCTTCTTCGCCGCTGCCGCTCGCACCAGAGCCACCGCTGCTGCCGACTCCTTCGCCTCGGCGGCCTCAAGGGCCGCCCTGAGACGCACGACCGCCTTGACGGCCTGATCGTGCTTCACTCCCGCATCTCGAAGAGCTGCATCAGCCTTCCGAGCCACTTCCACCTCAGAGGCAGACGGGACCTCCGCTGCCTTGGTGCTCAACTTGGCCAACTCGGCCTCGAGCGTGGTCTTCAAGGCGGGGTCCGTCGCTGCAGAGATGGCCGATGTGAGGAGAGATGACACAGTCGGCTTCAGGATCGACTTGGGTTGACTGCTCCCGCCAGTGTCCGCCAGCTGGTTATCCTCGAAGGAAACTCGACGGTCACGTGACACCGAGCGTGGCCTGTGCAGCTTGACCTGGCGATTACATTTCTGACAACGCCTGTCTCTCTGAAGCAGCTTCGCATTCCATTCACAAGTGCCGCAGCCACCGCACTTGGACCACACCTTGTCTGCTCCAGCCATGATGCCTCGGCTTCGCC